TTGGAGGCTTAACAGTCAAGGAGGTGACCTGATGATTTTAGCACAAGGGGGGGGAGGGTTGTGGTTGTGCAAAATGGCACCAGATGGGGTCTATAATTGGCCACAGAATAAACTATAATGGGGTATGTGTTCTCAGAGGCCAGTGGTACATAGCCACCAAAAAGTGACCAAAGTACCCCCAGGGTTTGGGACACAAAAAAGAGAGCTATATTTGCATTTTTTGTAGTTAAAAGGAAACATGATGATCTTACATTTGACATGACATTTTATTATGATAATTACCAATTGAAAATATTTCCTCTCAACTAAAGAAAGCTTCTTTTCTTGCTTTGGTTTAAGCGTCCTTCTTCATCTTCCTCATCAATGTCAACTTCTGATAACAGTGAATCAGAGGAGGAATATAAGGTCTGTCCTTCAAGTTATGGTAACCATATGATTACATTTTGGGAAAGAGAGGAAGTCTGTGAGATAAGGACAGCTCACTGGTTTAACTTTCACAACAACACCTCTCCAATTTTTTTTAAACAAAATTTTTAAAAATGTATTAACCCTTTAACTCCCAGATCAAATTTGTAATTCTCTTGTCAACCATGCAATTCTTAGAATGTTAGTTCAGATAATTTATTATTGGGTCAACTAATTATCCCCAAATCGAAATTTTTCTTCATTCTCATCACATATCTGGTTGACATTGTATTGATATTGTAACGAGAAATTATGTCTTGGTCACTTGTGGGAGCTAAACGGTTAAAGAAAGATTGAAGAGACATAATCACAGATAAATAATTGTGCCACTGGTAAACTCTTTCACTCCCATGATCTGAATTGTCAACTCTTTCCTCTGGCTGATAATTTTGTGTATTCTTATTATCTGTTTGCTGGATAATGTATGGATATTGTGAGGAGAAGTTTAAACAGCACAAATTACAGTTGAAACTGTCACACAGTGGTAAGTGATCATCCATAGGGATTAGCAGGGTGACCAGGAGTTTGAAAAACAACTGCATAATACACAGGGTGATGCCTAATTAAGGTGCAGCTTAACGCAGGTTTGGCTGTAATTTTGATCACCTCCTGTAGTTTTTCTAGAGAATTATAATCACAAGTGCCTTGAGGTATTTACATTTAAAAAATGTTTCTTTTTCTCTTTCTACCAATAAAAATTGTGCAGCAAAGAAAGAAGAGTAAAAAGAGTAGAAAGAAGAGAAAGCAAACTGAGAGTGATGCTTATGAACCCAGGACTAAAAAGAGAAAAAGGAAACACAGACAAGATAGCAATGAACACTCTTTATCTCCTCCATAGCTATGAGATTATATCTAACGAAAATAATTTTTACTATGAAACGATAAGTTGCTCCTGTTCTGCTGGATAGTAGTAGATGGACTTGTGAAATGTTGTTTAATATAAGAAGTCAAATGAAATTTGTGATAGGCAGTGGAAATGATTTGTTATTTTCATCATTTTGATTTCTCATTTGGGGGCAAGGCTCAACAGACAGTCACAGACACAGTATTTATTGTACATGCCTGAATATAAATCATGGTTTGTAGGAAATCATACTTTTAGTCCATTCACAGACCAATACCTCTGTTTAGTAATCAAAGAAACCAAACCATGTTAGTCCTCTACTTTTTAGCAACAGTTTATCTGTCAAACAATGTTAATGAGATATTGAGTCCAAAAAGGAAAACAAAAACTACATTGCTCTACTTATAGGCTAAGATGATTTAAATTTTTTGTTATTATTTGATGTATTTGAACTCTTCCCAGTTAATGTACATAGCACATCATTTCATGCTGAAGACCTTCCTACAAATATTTCTCAACAGAAACAACTGTAAAAATTAAGCTTTAAAGGGTGTGAAGTTTCTGAGTAGTTTTTGTTCAAAGGTTTTGTTGTCATTTTAGAGCAGGTTTTATAGTGACAATACAATGAGATGTAGTACTATAGTGTTAAACAAATAAATATGTTATTTACAGGACTCATTCTTGTTGATTTGTTTTATTTATGTTTACTTGAACTTTGCTCAGCACTAACAACTGGCTTGGCCTTCACTAGCTTCCCTTCTGCTACTGCTGCTAGCACTCCACTAAACATATCCTGAACACCTTGGCCTGTGGCTGCAGATGTTTCATAATACCTGAAAAATAGGATTGTCATACTTTGACCAAATGCCTTACATACTGCACACCCTGACATCAATATGCAAGTTCTCCATACTGTTTTAAATATTTTTTATGATATTAATAAGGAGAATTTGTCTAACAATCAGGAGCCTCTTGAGTTTGCCATCATTTCCTTTATTTTCATGACCTTTTTGTTTGATTCAGGGGTAATACTAAAGGGAGAAATTAGATGCTCATCACTTAAAGGGTTAATCAACACAGAATAATACAAGATGATTTGGTTTTATCAGCTGAGCTTATAATTCAAGACAAATTGGCCAACATTGAGAGTTTCTAAAGCTGACATTTCAAACATAAAACATTAGTCAGAGTGAGGGAAAAATAGAAACACACCCCCTTTATTAAGGATATTACTAACAGTCTTGTTGACTGCCAATTTCTAGGATGCATCAGCTGAACTGACCATGTGGGTAAAAAAAGTTTTTACAACTTAAAAAAAAAAGACATTTTTAACCACACCTGCAGCTGATTTTGTGAACATTTGGTTTTTCAGTTGAGACTGGGAGCTTTAATTGCTTTGATCATAGTTATTTATGAATGAAATCTTCTTAACAGAGGACAAATGTTAAGGCATTGAACAACAGTCTCTGTTTTTTTTTCTTTTTAAACAGGAAATAAAGGTTTGTGTGGTTAATTTTTTTTATGGTGTTGATAAACTGAGATGGTGAAAAAAATGTGACTTTTTGTTTCAGTAACTTATGTGAGATATCTGTAATTCATCAATCATGAAAAAAAATTAAAATAAAATATCAATTGAGATGTATACAAACCGTAAGTCACGTGACTTGGCCCATCTCTGCCCATCTTTGCTACTTATAACTCTTTTAGAGGAAAGATCAGTCTGTGATAGAAAACAAACATCTCTCAGTAACTGATGAGAACACTGCAAGGACCTCATGTTTACACCCTCACAACACTATGCATATTCTCCATGCTGTTCTCTACACTTTCAAAGGAGATTGAGAGGAGAATTTGTTTGATAATCGAAAGTTTCTTTAGTTGGTGATCATTTCCTTGAGTATTATGACCCAGTGTGTCCTTCAGTGGTAATGTTGTAAGGAAAAATTATATACTAATTACTTGTAGGGGTTAATGGGTCAACTCTCATAATTAACTGAGACAGAATTTCTCCACAGAATAACATTACAATATCAAGTAGGAAAGTGCTGAGGATAAGGGAAAAATATCAATTAGGGGATTATTAGTTGATCTAATGCCAAATTCTCAGAAGAAGAAGAAGAATGAGAAGAATTACTAATGATCTTGGGTGTGAAAGTGTTAAACACAAAGCCCAGTAAACAGTAGGTACTAAAGAGAAAATACAAAAGATAGTCTTTCTCCTGTCACCTCTTGAGGAGTAGTAATTCCTCAATGAGTGCATAATAAAACTGTAGCAAGCTTCAGAAAATTAAATACTCTCTTCTCTACTCATCATTAAGTTCATAATAAAATACAATACACAAAATGACAGAAACTGCACTAGTTTACAATCCTTCACCAAGATCTGATGGTTTGGAGCTCCCTGTCCAGAGATATCACCTTACCCACAGATATTCTAGCTTTATGATATTGCTTGAAAAATTCATAATCTATAGAATACTATTAGTATCAAAATTTCTGCCCCCTGATATGTGTTCTTTCCATCCACTGTATCTATTTGGCTTCTTTGCTATGTCACTAAATTCCTTTTTAGTTGTTGAAAAATTTGTATATAAGTGTATTAAGTTATAATCCTGTAATTATTGATTGATAACTTGTTTATTGTAGTAAATGTTTTATGGCAAATAAATAAATAATAAATGTACATAAGAATCAATGTTTACCTTGTTAGCCACCACAGCTACTATTGCTTGTTTGCCTCCATTACTAATAAACTCTTGCATCCAATAGTCCAGAGAGTCAAACGACAGCTTGTTTGTAACATCAAACACCAGAATACAGGCCTAAAAATTAGTACCAATTACATTTATATTGATTTTTCTTGAACTGAGGTCAGAAAAAAGCCATTAAGAAACAATGGACAAACCTGTGTTTGGCCATACAGTTCTACTCTAATTTCATCATAATCTGTATGACCTCCAAAATCCCAGAAGTTAATTCTGTCTGAAAAAAGGAGAGATCACAGGTAACTTATTAAGAGCAGTCCATGTTTAAAAGATATATATACTAAATAATGCAAAAATTTTAAAAAGTGGTATCATGTTCTTTCTTTTTTTCATTCAAAGAAGTCGTTGGTAAGAAATTATGTCATTGCAAAGCACATGCACACATAGAAGCAGAAGGGTCATTTTACTGTCTCCAGTTATATTCTGCTACTGAATATCTTTCTATCACATTAATCTTAAAGTGAAAGCTTTGAACCCTTTAAACCCTAAGAGTGACTAGTATTTAATTTCTCCTTACAATATCACCTCTGAATCACACACTAGGGTCAAGAGAATAAAGGAAAGATATCCAACTAAAGAGGCTCCTAGTGTTCAACAAATTCTCCAGGTCAGCACCTTAGTAAATGTCTAGAGGACAGTGTGGAGAATATGCATACTGATGATAGGGTGTAGAAGGTTAAGGGTTGCACCCTAAGATACAGCAAATTATTTCAATCTGGGCTATTTATAAAACTTTGAATTTAAGGAGAACTGAGGGAAAGCTCTAACTTTTTTCCTTTATACTCAACCATTAATACAAAAGATCAGTTTTATGTTTCTTTCTTATGAATTGTTTTTGCTTTGGTTTTGCCCATACACTCAACTTTGGTGTTGAAAAAGATTTTTCATCCCAATTTCCATCAAGAGGCAATGTGGCTCAGAAAACCACTTGGCCAAGAGACATACATTTTCATGTAATTGACACTGTGAGATATCAGAAACACAATAGAGTTGGTTTACTTACAGTCAATGTTGTTGACTTTGTGCAGCTTGAAGCCTAGACAATTATAAAAAATATGAAGATCATATACTCATTATGATACAACCATGCTTGGTGAAATATAGCTCATACTAGCTCAAATCAAGAATTCAAGTCCCAGAGCAGACCAACACTCAGGGTCTTGAAGTAATTGAGAAGAATGTGCTGCCTTTACTAGACATTCTAGTTATTGTTTATACAGCTGAACTGGGCCACACTGTCTGAATATCATTAATAAATATATAAACAAGCCAAAAAGACTGGGTTAAGAAGGAGTTTTAACTCACCATAATCAACTCCTACAGTTGGGTGGTAACTTTTTGAAAACTAAAGAGAGGAAACAGAAGTGAAAGGATTCTTACTGAGATCAGTTTTGAAGCTGCTGTTCATGAACACAAAGTCTGTAGTTTTTCCTGTTGTGCACATGTTTTTCCATCAAATGAAAACTGAATAAAATTATAAAGATGTATAGTTTATCATATATTGTAAATGGTTTTACAGAACGTGATTATATACAGCAGAACCTCATTAACCCAAGTCAGTCAACTCAAACCCCCAACTAACTCAAACAAGATGATTTTCCTTGGATAAGAACCAATTTTGTCTTCTCTGGAAGTTTAAGTTAGTGCAGTTCTTCTGCAAACAAGGAAACTTGTTGATATACCTTTTTCTCACAAAAGTTCTTGACAAGGCAGGTCTTCCCTACGCCATCATTTCCTATTCCTACAACCTAAAAGAAATCAGAGCTAATGTGTGAGAATTGAAGATATTCACATAGGACTACGAACAGAATTTAATTGTTACTGTTCCTATTGTCCAGATGTAGTGTTGTTGTGACACTCATCAAAATGTGGGGCATTGAATCTACTTTCTGTCATCAATTATATTTTCAATGATACAACCATGCAGAAGCAGGTTGCAGGTAAAGAAAAGTTTTCTCTATTAATCTCCTGCCTAAACAGTAATGTATACAGTCAAACCTGTATTAAACACCTCTGTATTAAGCCATCACCCTGCATTAAGTGGTACATTTTCAAAATCCACCAATTGCTTCCCCTTTATCACTGTAATTTACACTCTATTGAGCAGTCACCTCTATAAAGCGGTTGTGGTCACCCTTTACTAAGTCCCAATGGCCTGTTTGTATTGTTTTCCACCTTTATAGTATGGTCACTTGAAGTACAACCACTCTAATAGAACTAAGAATAATATTTTAAGTGAAATTAAATCCATCTTTATCTCTTTATCTCTTCACCTGACCCTAAGCAAGTAGTATTTTTTAACCAAGCTTTTGTGGTCAATTATGGCAAAACATGGCATCTCTTATGGTTTTTATATATAATACTCCTATTCTGTGGAACCTGCATTAGCGGTCAACCTGTATTAAGTGGTCATTCCCCCTGGTTGACTGCTTAACCCTTTAAACCCTAAGAGTGACTAGCATCAAATTTCTCCCTACAGTATCACCCCTGAATCACACGTTTTGGTCATGAGAATAAAGGAAATGATCACCAATGAAAGAAGCTTTTGATTGGTAAACAAATTCTCCTTTTCAGCACCTTAGGAAATGTATAAAGAGCAGTATGGAGAATATGCATACTGATGCTAGGGTGTAAAGGGTTAAGACAGGTTCGACTGTATTAGTAAACAATGTGATCCTGTAATGAATGTGGGTACCAGGGCTAGAAAGAGATATTTTCAGTTGAGTCAGTAACCCTAAAATCGGTAAGGGTTCGAGGAATTAAAAATTTATCATAAAACGTTAACGAAACGACCTATGATCGGTTCGCTTATGTCTCATGAGAGGTAAGCGAACTGGTCGTCAGCGGAACGACCGTAATTCGTTTGAGATATCAGTAATCTTGGTTGCACTTGAAATTCCGAGACTAGCTCAGCTACGACACAAACCATTCGATGAGACTGAAGAATTACAGAGATAGAACAAAAAGTTAAAAGGAAATTTTTACCTTTATCCAGAACAAAGATCCAGCAATCTCTTGCACAGACTTTGTCAAGTGCCCTGCCTTTCGCTCCATCAACACATCATCGACTCACTCGGTTACTTCTCGGTTACTCGGTCTTTTGAAGTCACCTGGTTACCCAGTCGCTCTAACTTCAATATGGCGGAATTTGCAGCCCATTTGAACCAAGGCACTTTGAACGCTCAACCAACAATATTTGAGATAGTCGCCCAAGAATCTATGGCATCAGTGCTAAGACCGGCTGTTATTTATGCGTTGAAAGTGCTGGCAAGTTCTAATCCTGACAGATGGGGCTGGATTTGGCGTTTCGGAGACGAACTTCACCTATGTTTAGAATATATTCTCCAGAGTCACTATTTAAGGAACTTTGAAGGTTCAATATCTGAACATTTTTATGGGCTCAAAAGAGTTAGCAGAACCCCTAATAACAATGCCGATGATAAACTATCAAGTTTGCAGAGATATTTGTCTTTATTAATGTTAGTGGTACTTCCATATGCTAAACTTAAACTTGATCAGCTGTTTGAAAGATTAAGAGAAGAGTATGTTACTGGTTCATTGTCCTCCCATCCAGCCAGGAAGCGGTTGTATTTTCTGCACCTCAAGAGAATATTTATTTACTTGTATCCCTTCTTGCATTGCGCGTGGGAATCGATCTTTTTGTGTTATTACATGCTGTATATCTTTAGAGTCTCTGGCGTTCACTCTCCTTTACTTCATATTGTGGGAATCTCTTTACAAAGATTCACACAACGAGACATTGTCGTGCACAATCTGCAGAGAAGTCTTCCTACAGTTCCTTACAGACAGACTATGGTTAAACAGATACTGGCCATTCCATGCTCAGTTACAAGGCTGCTATCATCATTGTTAGCCAATGGTCTTCCTATTGCTGTGTTTTCACTTAAATTCATAGAGTGGTGGTATTCAAGTGACAATAGAAGCACTGTTCAATCAGTAATGCAGTTACCAGTCCCCTCTCCACCAACCCAGCCTAAGGTAGGTTGTCTCAGAGGTATTTAATTTGGAGTATTTATGTAGAAGGAAGGTTTGATATTCATGAGATATGTTCATATCTGAATTTGCATGGCAGTTTATTCTCAGAGAAGCCAAAGTGTTTGGCAAGGTGAAAGAGAGGAGGTAAATGAGGCTTGTGTGATTGTACAAAACATGATGATTACAGCTTTTAGCCTGGCACTCAAATGATCCCAAAACTCGATAATATTTTGTAGCTTGAGACATCTGTAAATCTGATTACCGACCTTTCAAACTACCAAAGAGCCCTGTCAACTCAAACTCTCAAGAGAAAGGAAAATGCTTTGAGTTACCAGGGCTTGAGATAATGGGAGTAGTGTATTTCAGTTATCCTGTTTGGGAGTTAGCAGGGCTCTATTGTGCTCACTCTTTTTTGGTGGGTTCAAGTTAACTGAGTTTTAGTTAATGGCGTGATATGGTAAACTTCTGGAGAAACTGTGGTGCTGACTTGGTGGGGAAGTATAACAAGATCATTGAGTTTTATCAACTGAGTTGATGATGTAAATTGGCCACTGTAAAGATTTTCCAAGCTAATGTTTCAAGCGTTAGCCCTTCTTCAGAGCAAAATATAAAGGGCTAGCAATTGAAACATCAGCTTAGAATCTCTTTGCAGTGGCCAATTTACGTTATCAACTCAATTGAAACCCAAATTATCTTGATGAGTTTGAGTTAGTGGGGTTCTGATGTACTCATCACTTTTGTTGTAGGAAGAGGTGAACTGAGTTTGAGTAAGCAGGGTTCTACTGTACTCATCATTTTTGTTATTGTTTACAGCCTGCCCAACATGGTGCCCAACTCCCTCCACATCCAGCTCAGTGTCCACTGTGTAAGAGAGTTCGCACTAATCCTACAGCATTGTCTTCCTCTGGTTATGTTTTCTGCTACCCTTGTATCCACAAATACCTCAATCAACATGGATGCTGTCCAGTCACACATTTGCCAAGTGCATCAAAACAACTTGTCAGGCTTTATGTTGATATTGTAAACTAAAAAACATACCAGTTTTTCACAGAGTGAAAGAAATTTAAAGTCCTTCTCTTCTGATATAATTTTGGGCAAATTTCTCCCAGTCACACCCAGTTCTCAATTATCATTAGAGACTGAAACAAGTTATTTAACCTGTTACACCCTAACATTTGTATACATATTCTCCAAACAGTTCTTCTTGCATTTTGTATGGTGCTGACAAGGAGAATTTGTGTAACAATCAAGAGCTTCTTTAGTTGGTGAATCATTTCCTTTTGCACAATCTTAACATGTGATTCATGGGTGATATTGTGAGGAGAAATTAGATGCTAGTCACTCTAAGAGTATAAAGGGTTAAAATGCTGTCATATGGAAAGTTAGTTTTCTTTGAATTGCTGCAAAAATAGTGACTTGTCGAGTTAAGTTCTGCTCGTTTATTATCAAAGTTTTAACTTTTTTTCTAATTTAACTTCACTTAGCCCAATTAATTTCATGATTTTAAGAATTCTTTTTTTCAGTGATGGGCTGCACAAAGTCACTAACTTCTTTTATGTATTAAGGAAAACAAACCACACTCTTCAATAAAATGTTACTGGTGCACCAAAACCTTGTTATTTTCACTTTAAGGATTAAAATAAACATCAACACTAGTTTCCCATCAACTTTGAAAGTTATCTTTCAACTCTATTAGCCATTACAACATATATTGAAAAATGGAAAGCTTTCAATCAGTTTTTTCAGACTTGCATCCAATGACATAATTTTCCACAAATTCTAGACAGTCACTTCGCAGCCTGGTCCATGCTCTTGTTTTGTAGCCCAGAACAAACAAAGTTATCATCTAACAACTGCCTTTGGTTCTTCCTACACATCTTCCAGTGTTAGCCTGGTTCTCATGAGCCAACTTTGTATCATCAGAGTCAAGGAAATGTTATGTAAGGTTCATCTACATTACTTTAACATGCTTTATTTAAAAATTGCAGGGTGTAGACTGAAGTAGATTTAATTCTGATTGTTTAAAAAGTTTTGCCTGGCCAAAGAAGAGCACACTTTGTAAACCTCTTAATTCTATTGATCATTTGCAATTGGCAATGTTTGACAGTTAATTCATCTTCACTACCTTGCTTGGTAAACAGAATTAGTTCATCTCTAGTGATCAAGCCTAAATATAATTTCTATGAACATACCTCTTCAGACAAAATTAGTACATTTTCAATGCCCAAGGGTTAGGACTTTCCAAACATTCATCTCTAAAACCACTGTCATATTTTCTATGAGTGAAATTAACAGAAATTTTTGGATGATGTTGAAATACATCAAAAAAACGTCTACAACATCTGCATGCATTTTCACTTTAACAGCTACAAGGAAAATAATCTGCACTGCACTTATTACAGTACTTGGTCATTATTTATGTTGGAATTATCATTTCTCTTTAACAAAGAAAAAGATAAGCCTCTATGTACATAACACCCTCTCCTCAATTCAGTGAAAAAAAATATACCTGCCACAATAACTCAGAGTTATGAAATGAAGATGGTAGCCATCATTTCATGGAAATAGGATAACATGGTTCACACTATTTACTGGTGGTTGTAGTAAATGTAACTTTAGAAATGTGTACTTTGTTTTTCTCAAACTATCATTTTTTCTGTGTTGTCAGTTATGGTATAGCTCATCACCATAAAAATGCAATAAATAACCTGCATAAAAAATGTATGTAAGTGCTACCTTAAATTACCTTTAGAAGTAATAATTTATAAATAGGGAGTATTGGAGTAAGATTTTCTAGCAGGTGGTAAAAGAATCACAGATCACCACTCATTATTGTTATCAATAGTTTGTAGTTTAACCACCTGTTGCTCATTGTCATGTTTCTATGGATTATCTAAAATATAAATTGCACTTGGCTATAAGTTAATTTTTACTAATATTCTTCATGACCGTGTTGATCGAATTCACTTCTTGTTCTGGTGTTTTTAGAAGCTCTCTTTGTTTTGAGTTTCGAAAGAATTTCATAAGCTTCTTGAATTTCCATGAATTTTTGTTGGGCTTCTTCTTTGTTGTTTAGATTTTTGTCTGGATGCCACTTTACTGCAAGTTTCTTGTATCTTCGTTTTATTTCCTCTTGAGTTGCATCTTCTGTTAGCCCTAGGACACGATAAGCGTTCTTTTCTCCCCTGGGATCCAACGCTTTAACAAACTCGTCGTAGAAATTGTCCCAGCCGTTCTTCTGACCTTCTTCATAAAGACCCCAAAATACTTCCTTGAATTCGAGCCACACCGGTGAATTGAAGAAGTGATTTATAGCGTCACGTAACTTTACAGTTTCTCCATCTTCTGTGGTGACTTGTGCATTGAAATAGAGGAACGATCCCCACAGGGAACAAATAATTAAGCCGCCAATCGCCAAGTACTGTAGCCGCTTGCATAAGGTCTTGCCCTGCGGTTTCTCCTTCCTAAACTGGCGGCGGTTTTGGAAAAAAATGGCAGCAACTAGAGCCACATACATTGCACCAGCCTCGTCCCCAGTAAGATATGTCAAAGCTATATTAGCAATAAAAGCTCCCATCAAAGGATATTTAAAATCTCCCCTCTCTCGACCAATGTTTCCAACGAGATAAACACCAACGGCGACCCCAAGAGGTACCAACAACGCCGGAAGCCATTTCGCCTCCTCAGGTATCGCTAGTCGAACTAATATGCCGTAAAAATATCCTACAAGCATCTGTCCTGAAAATCTGGTTACACTAAATGCTGGTTCTCCCCTAAGCTTTATCTTTCTTTTGAGTTCTTCGACGAAAAACCGTTCTTCGTTGGCATCGTCAACATATTCTGGAATACGCCAAAGGTCGCGAAACCATCCCAGGCCAAATACACCTCCGATTGTTGACCACCAAATAAATGCTTGGATATCTCGACCCAGATATAAATGATGCAGACCGAGCCATCCCCATATGAGCCAAATAATATACGTTAGTAATAAACTCTTTTGGTTCGCCATAGAGTTTGCTGTTCTTCAGCAAAATTACCAAGATTGTGGCGGTTACTTCGAAGGGACGGAAGTGAACAGAAGGGCAAATCACTTGGCGGCGTTTGATTGGTTACCGGACGTTTGTAACATGGCTGTCTGTGACTTGCCAGTGCGCGGCCTGGGGATGAATCAAAGATAAGAACGCGCAAGACTGGTTTATTGCCGTTTCGGGTTTTTTTTAGGTTATCGTTATCTTTTTAAGGCGAAATTTACGAGCATTTCTCCTGTTTCAGAGAGTGGGTGAGGAGGGCAGATAACAGTCACTCCACAGACTCAAAATATTCCACCTTTAATGATTTTCGACTGCTTTAATGTCATTTCTGATGTTTACAATCCATCTCCAATAATCTCCGTCCCAAGCAATCTTTACAAAAAAACATTTATCTACTTGGTTTACCCTTACAGGACCAAACCGAACCATATACTGGTCATTAAGAAAAACTAACCTACACCAAAAATGGATTCAGTAAGGGGGGTGTTAATACTAAGCCGACAGAGAAGGGGCTAATTCATTATTGCCTTTGAGGCAAATGGTTGAATTTAAAGTTTAAAGTAAGTGGTACAAATGGGTTGTGTCCTTGTGAACCGTTACACAAAGGAACGAAACATTAACGAACTGCGTCACAACTCCATGTATGGATATGAAAACAATAGGAATTCCTCCGTGTACCGGTACACCAAGACAGCCCCTACAAATGAGACAACACCCTTTTCTACATGTCCATATCTTGTTACATAATCGTTTCCTAAACTTTTTCTGGTCTAATAACTTTGACTGACTCAAACTGCAGGTCAACTCTTGATGGATAAACAACTCTGAGTTGTCCATCACTGCCTAATACTCTAACTTGTTCGATAACAAGCTCTTGGTTTGACAAGGAAGTTGCACATTCTACATCATCAACCAAAGTGTTGGCTTCCGAAAACAAACCAACTTCCAACATCATCTTAATTAGACTGTCCATTACAGTCTTGCAAGTTTCAAGACTGACTGGTGATGTTACCTCCAGGAGTACATCAATCTTTTTCCCTGTTATCTGCAAATAATAATAAAAAAAATTGTTTTCTTTTGCTTTGCACTTTCTATGAATAAGTCCAATATCTTGGGAAATTGGTTCACGTCTCATGGCATATAGCAATGATACAAACAAACATCCTTGAAAAATTTGATTAAAATGGGATAAGCAAGAATGACTCTAATGGGGTTCCTCTCCTCATCATCTGTACACAACACACCAGAAAACAAACAGAGGGCACTTTTACCAAGTGTACACCAATGTTGTATGTATGACCTGATGGGGTCTTTACCTTACTCTTGTCACAGTTAGTAACTGGAGGCAGAGACACAACAGTTCTACTTGAGTCTCTTAATACAGCATATGACTCTGCTCCTTCAATAAGAGTAAGATACCTATTGCAAGAAACAGATAAAGATGATGTCAGTGTGAGGGTTGCCACTGTACACTGCATTTACAAGCCAGTCAAAAGCATGTTGCTGCATAATAGTTAAGTAAACCCTCTTTCAGTAGCCATCCCATCCATTTCTATAGGCTATTTAGTCATCTTTTTAAAATAGTAACAAAATCAGTTACAAATATCTGAAGAAGCCCTGTTTATAGAGCTACATAGATAACATCCTGTAAGAAACAGAAAAAATTTGTGATTCAACATTCATCTTTTAAAAAGATAAACTCAGAGTTGTTGTTAATAACAGGAAATAAAATCATACTTAAAAAGTCCAGTTTTAAAAGGATTTCTTTTTGTTTTCTGTTTTTGTCTCATGGCTTCTGCTCTTAGGTCTGTTATCAGCTGTTCAGCAGTTATTTCCTCTTGTCTTCCCAGAGGCACCAGCTGGATATCACTTGGAGGGCAAGCTTCATATTCCAGGGGGAATGCTAAAGGTGCTATGTCATGTGTGGCAATTGTAGCTGATGTTCTATGGTCACAAATGCTTTCATGAAGTTTGGTCTGTTAGTAAGCAAGAGAGAGAATGTTATTTGATCATAAAGGTACAGAATGTAGCATTCAAAAAGTTGTAAAACCTAGGGAAGTAACTTCTAAGTAAACTTCAAATTTGTATTTGATTTGATTACATGCTAATCACTCAGATCTGGTAAATACACAATTTATTTTAACTTCAGATTTTAAAATATCGTTAACAAAATTATCATGGAAAAAACAAAACATATTCTACCTTATTAGAGAATATATTGAGATAGCTTGAGAATGTATGGATAAGAGGTTGGTATGTTTCAATCAAGATGATGTTGTGTGGATTCATTACTGATCGCCAGATTGAAACAGCCTAGGGTTTTGGTTTAGACACTCAGAAACTTCTGTTGATCAAAATTCATTTGCAACACTTTTGGCAGTGAGGAAAAACAACACTTATGGCACTTGAATATTGCAACATGGGAAATAACCTGGCTTACAGAAATCTAGAAAAAAAAGCTGTTCAGTATAGAGTATGGAAATCAACCTCACAAAGTGATGAAAATTCAAAGGAACAATACAATGCTGCCAAGGTAATAGCTGATGAAAATGCAAACGAGGCAGCCATCTGGGACTAAAATACAGACTCTTCTTTTTCCATCCCAGTTCAAGCTCATGACAATTTTTGAACTTCCTCCTTAAGCAAGAGAGAGGGAGGGAGAGAGAGAGAGTGTGGAGGGAATGTCCAGACATAAAAACAGGCACTAACAGCATCTCAAGTGCAGGCAGAAAAGTAAGAACAGCTGAAAGTCAAAGGTATAGAAAACCACCATGGTGTCAAAATCAACTTCTTTTCAGTCAAAGAAGTTGACCACAAATGTAAATGAGTTCTGCCATGTTTTGCTTTGTTATTGCTAGCTTTGACAAATTTAGCCTATTCCTAACCCCACAGCCTAGCTAATTAAATAAAGTTTTTTTTAAGAAAAACCTCTCCTTTGTTAACAGTGTCTGTGGTTTGAGGCTAGAATATTAATCTAACAAAAGAGGAAACAGGCAAATGGGACAAAAGACATTTTAATGGCTAATGGCAATCCAGCCATCATCAAGACACTGACCAAACATCATATTTTTCACTATGAAAAGGTTCTAGATAGTAAAGTTTAGCTTTTCACCTGGTAAACAAGCATTCAAGAAGGATTAGACTGACTACTAACCCACCCCTGAGTATAACACTGGTTTTACCACATCCAATAATTCTCTAATTATTAATCGGGGCCTACCCAAGCTATCACATATAACCCCATAGGATACTCTTACTTGCCTAAATTAAAATCAAACATCAACTTTCAGATAAGTCTTGTTTAATTTCTGGCTGGTTATTAGCCATCATGACCTCACACTTGGTCAATAACTCTTTTGTATAACTGTGAAGAGGTACCTGAATATTGATGAACTTTTTATAGGCATCTGCATCGATAAGATCCAAATTCCTCACCACTGCACATACAATATAAGGTCGCACAACCTTAACACTTGATTGAGAAACAACCTTAAACTCTTCACTGTGCATAACTCTGACCACTGGGTTGAAAAATTGTGCCTCAGCCTGGTCCGCACTAACTTCATTATCAGCTCCCTCGCTGACCTTTCTACTTCTCCCTTTTTTCCCTCCTTTTTTCCCAGCTTTCACTTTCTCACTTCTTGTTGCGATGTAATCTAAAACTGCCTTGGTTGAACATTGTTTGATAACCTTAAAAAGTCTCCTGTCCTGAATCGAGTTGTCTTGCAAGTGAAGATCTTTCAGCTTAAGACAGTCTGTCAATTCTGATGGAAGAAGTTCAATCTTATTTGCATTCAAGGACAGCACCTTGAGAGCTGGCAGTTTTGAGATATTACCACTAATGTTGCTGATCTGGTTGTAAGAAGCGATGATTTCCGACAGATGTTCCAGTTCGTATATTCCATCGGGCAGTTCTTTCAGTTGATTATGACTGATGTCAACTCGTTTCAGACTTGTGAGAAGTACAAAACTCGGCAGTTCAGTTAGTTGGTTGCAATTCAAATTCAATGACTGAAGCAAATTCAGTTCTGTCAGTGTTGTCGGAAGCTTTTGCAACTTGTTGTCCGATAAGTCAAGGTGCTTAAGTTCCTTGAGCAATCCTATGGAAGCTGGTAATTCCTTTAAGCTATTTTTGTGCAAATCCAGTGTCTTTAATTTCACCAGTTGCCCTAATTCGACCGGAAGCGAAAGCAACGTTGTGTTCGATATTTGTAGAAAATTGAGAAAGGTCAACTCGAAAATATCTTTGTCCAGGCCACTTTTATCGATCCTCTCGGAAACAGTAGCACCACTCAGAACTAGTTCATACCTATGTTCATCGGCGGCTTGCTTAACCTCAGGCCAGCCCATCTTTTGTCCTCTCTTCAATCATGAAAGTCGCCTCGAAACGCGGCCGAGTTGTGTTACACAGGCCTCCTCTCATTATCGAGTGATGAAGAGAGAGGGCCCTGGGAACTCCCTTCACAGGATACCACTGACATCGAAGCATGCGGCCAAGCACTACTTAATTTCTTTCTTGACATCGGTTTCATTGGGACACTAAGCGGCTGCGCAAAGGAACTTTTGAATCCTTTTAAAAACCACAGGGTTTCAATTTCGTATTTTTACTGGTCATAAAAATTAAAAACGTATAATCCCGTATCACGCACTGACCCCTTCCCTACCTCCGCCTCTTTTAAAATTTCCCTCTCTCTCTCTCAACTTTTGGCTTCGTAGCTCAGTTGTTACTTATGTTGTCACAGCGGGATACACAAAACCCAAGGATTCTCGAAACCTTGTGAGAGGTCTAAAAAGGATTTGGGAGTCATTATCGGTACATGACCACTTACAAACCTCTCGCAGGCAAGCATTCCTCTAGACCTCAAACTTATTTGCGGAAGAAGAAACACTCTTAGTGACGAGCTTATAAACAGGGCCTTGGGCTTGATGTCCTTATTTCTTATGAAGCCTGAAAATGATCATATGATGTTTTCACATTCAATAGCATATGGTTGCACTAAATCAATGAGGACGTGAACGGGAAAAGTATTTTTTTGCTGTGATGTGATGTGTCAAGTTGGTTTCCATATACTGTGCGACTTCCAAATACTATAAACCTAGTGCATTGAAAATCACTAAATCGCCAGATCCCTTAATCGCTTAACGAATTTTCTGTGGGTCATTTCGTAGAAATCTGAGGTTGGAATATACGCACAAGGGCCCCGATCTCATTAATGTGTCTTACGCTAGTATCAACGTATAATAATCTTTCTCTAAGCTTCTACTAACCTAAGCTTCTACTAGCAACAAAACGAACTGAAACATGCAAGTCGAGCCTGTAGACAATTTGTATTGGAAGCGGAGGAACAGGCCAGGGCAAGAAGTGATTACCTGATGTGTACCTGATTGTGTTTATACCACCGATGATTGATACTTAAGTAAAACAGCATAAAAACTACACAACTTGGCAGGAGTCTGAAATTGCATCAAAGTGTTGGGACGTCAGGGGGACAGATAGCTTGAACAACTGAACTCGATGAGAGAAGAGTACCAGAAGTCTTGGATCATAATAGCTTCTTGTTTAATGTACCCCTGCCTACCCAACGTCTACTAACTTCACCAACAATTCCAACTTTCACTACTATTGCCAAAAAGCTCAGCACTTATATTATCATTTTGTTGTGTTTTCTTAACTATGCGAGGTAGATGAACATGTAGCCACGTATATAGCACATATAGCGCAGTAACGGCTAACTTTGAGATAATCTAAAGGGCTAAGAATACACTCACAGATGTGAACCTCGCGCTAATAGAAAGTCCGAAAGTTTCATGCAAATTAAGCGCTTAAAATCGCGTCTATATTTGGTAAACATTTAACCAGCGGATAGCGATTTATCCGGTAAATAGCACCACCTAACCTTTGAGCAACCGAGGCCTGGCGGATAGCACAAGGTTTAATTTTTCTTATAAGTTTTGTCGATCATTTTATTATCATTTCAACCGTGACTAAACAGAAAAAAAGACAACTATTTAAAGCCCGTGAAAAATAATAGTTATGGCTTATTTCACATCATATTCTGCTATTTTGATAGAGGGATCGTCTTAATGCGAGCGACTACGACAAAAATTGAAGTTTTGTTACTTCCTTTTCAGTTTCTACATTTGGTGCAAAACTTTTGTACTCATTGCGAGGCCCTTCTGTATTTTGTCTTGGAAGAAAAACGAGAACCCAGATGTTAATTTGCCGTTTGCGTTTCACCACAACAAAATGTGCCTCTAATGAATGGTGCTAAAAAGAAAAATCGTGCGCGCTAAAAAACCGTGCAGTTAGACGAGCCATTCAGGGAAGAGCTCAATGACCCACGACGAACGACTACGACAAAAATTGAAGTTTTGTTACTTCCCTTTCAGTTTCTGCATTTTGTGCAAAACTTTTGTACTCTTTGTGTGACTGCCAACAAAGTCAGGTTTCAACACGCGAACGCTATAAGATTTATTTGCATTTGTTGCTAAAAAGGAACAAGTTATTACAAATTATTACGAAGGAGAAGGAATAGTAAAACGCAAAACAGAGGAAATTGGACAAGGAAAGACACTTACAAACGTTGTGTGACTTGCGAGCACGAAGAACTGAAAAACTAAAAGATGATCGCAGCGAAGGAATCGATGTTAACCTAATGCACT